ACAGGTTTGCAATGTCTGCAATGTTTATGTAACAGCGGAGTGCTGGAATTGAGGACGCAGAAGGAAGCCCATGCACACACACAAAAGCCTTGGAACTACAGCCAACTACAAAGATGTCTTGTGATTGTGTTGAAGAAACTGAGAACCCATTGGCTGATAGAGTGTAGTTACAACAATCCACTCATTTTCAGCTTCCCTGTTTTAAGACATGGCTGCTGGCCAACCGCCGCTGTGGTTATAAATACTGCCTCTATTTGAAGCTCCAGTCTGCATTATGCATTGATCTGCTCTAAATGGGCTCATGCTGATACAGACTGACCAATCAGCCAGAGAAACTTAACAACATGACAGATCTATTGGGAAAAAAAAGCACTAAAATAATCAGAACTCTGGTGTTAAAGAGAACCCACCTGCAGGTTTGAAAGGCATGTTATCTTTCTAAAATAATTAAAAAACAAAATTAAAGAAAACAGAAAGAATTACTGGATTTTCAACTTTGTGACACACAAAAAAGGGATATGTAATAAAACAACAACAACAACAACAAACACTTTTGCACTGGACATTGTAAAAACCTAAAAATTCATCCTCCTTTGATCAGTCCAAGAAACCATGATTTTCTGAGCTGATGTGCAGAGTAATGTGAAAAACACCTAGTTGGTAGAGACTGCAAAAATATAAATACTCAAACATCTATAGTGTGTGAAGTCACTTTATGATTTATAGCTTTATAACTGTGTCAAAGTGCCCAAAAGACATTTGATAGTTTTCTCTCCTAGTCATTGTGTTGATTTCATAGAGGTACGGGACTTATATTGCAGTGAAAAATGAGCCCATAGTGAGAAAAATGTACCAGGAGCAACCTATACACCGCTTAATCCTCACTAGGATCGTGGGGGGCTGGAGCCTAGAGGGTTAAATGACACTCCAAATAACTGCAAACCTTCCAAGCACCAGAACTGTGCACCCATATGATATCAGCTCTGCTATCAGCGCTCAGCTCCTTATTAAAAGTAAATGTATTCGTCTATTTCAGATTCCACAGCCAGAACTGTTGACAGATTTACATTTATCTGTTTCATTTGTTTCTATACAACGTAGGCCAGTATAAGCAATCCTAAAAAAAAATGCTCTGATCAGTAATCTGTATCAGCCAATCACCTTACTATCAGTACTTCCTTCTGAGAGTTAAAGACTGAGTAGTGTGCACCTTTTAATTTTGGGCTTTTAGATATACAGGTTTATTCTAAGAGGCGTAAAATGACAGCAATTTAGTGCAACAATAATTTTAAAAAGTTATTTATTACAACTCATTTTGTAGTAAAGAGAGCAAAGGTCAGACTCGAAGGCTCCTGACAGCAGATGGTGAATAACATATTTCTGAGGTTCAATTTAAATGAGTCTAAAAAGGACAGAGGGGAAAGTTTAAAGACATTAATTATCATTTATTGTAATTTTTGGCAAATATCCCTGCAGCAGAGGCAGTGACTCCGCAAATAATGCAGTAAGAACAGTCTGAGCTCGCTAAACCCGCTCCGTAATACATCAAACACAGAAAGTCCAAAACAGATTATTATAGCTATATAATGCTTATTTAGCTACTCGAAACCATAGAGCTAGATTTAAGAATTTACTGAATAATTTTCTGATATGGTGTAGCAATTCTGCAGGTCAAGTTACCAAAAAAAAAAAACATATTACAGGAATAAAGGGAGGAGTGAATGGACTGCATAACAAACTGTGCAAATTATAGATAGCCATATGTGGCAGTTTACGTACTGATTGTAATTCTCATCTCTCATCTTTGCCAGCGCTGGACCAAGATGAAAGAGTTGGGATGCTTTAGACATGCTGTTGTTCAAGACGCTAAGAGGAGACTGGAGGCAAGACTGTTTCCACAGCAGAGATAAACAAAATGTAACACGTAGCACCGTGCAGAAAGGACTGCTGCTGCCATACAGCAAAAAAAAAGAAAAAGAGATCAGGATCGATTCCTTAGCTTAAGGTATCAAGAAAGTACAGAAGATGCTTTCTCAATAACAGCCAGCTTATAACTTAGCAACAACTGAGTCATACCGTTTTGCAGCAGAAAAAAAGAAAGAAAAAAAAGGATTACATAAGCGAGTTTAAACTGTGATTTTCTTCTTATCAGACAGCTCTGTCTTCACATGCACAAAACAAACACTCAACCACTAGGAGAATGGATAATCTCTGTCATTTAAGTCTTTGTGATACGTGTGGTCTGAAAACTCAACTCTATTTCAAGTCTTACCTTCTCCAGCTGTCATGGTGCAAAGCTGCCCTCAGCAATGTAGCCTGAGAGGAATGCTGCTATGCAACTGATCGCTCAGCCTTCTCTACAGTCGCTGCCCTAAATCTCTCTCTGCTACTGTTTACCTCTTGGTGGTGCTACAGAAATGGCTGCTTTGTTTTGCTCTCTATCCCTCTACAATCTGTCTGTTCTCTACCCCTACCTCGCCCCCACCACCCCTCCTCCTCCTCATCCTCCTCCTCGCCTGTGCAACAGCACAAGAGCAAAACCACCTCTTCTCCTCCGTTGCTCACATAGTTTGATCCGTGCACATATTACAGCGTCTTTTTTAACAGTCCTTTGCAAAACAATTTCAAAGCACTTCTTTTCTGACAGTATGGAGTGCATTGATCATAAAGTGACATTGCAATTTTAACCCATTACCTTTGCAGTATATAATGCTCACTACTTTACAAGTACGCCTATTCCCTGTACACAGAATTTATTTCAGTGTTGTTAGATTGCTGTCAAAAAAGGCTGAAGGTCTACATGTTTCACTGTTCAGCTCACTCCCTGCCAATATTAGCACCCAATATTAGCACCCTGAGACAAATGGAATTGAATTAAAATGAGTTGTCATCTGTAGTTCTAAAGTAAATTTTAGTGCAGCTGTGAAAAAGAGGTTGAGCCAAGCAGCTGATGGTGATAGATATACTGACTCACTCTCTAATAACTGTTAAAATGAGTCATGTTTATATTTTTCACTTTGTCTTCCTAATGAACCTGCAGCAACTCTGCACAGGACAAAATGAAAACAAGCTGTTGTGACTAAGAGCGACAGCATATTCATTAGGACTAATATTCAAGAATGTCCTTCTTCAAACTCCAAATATGAGAGTCAATTCACAACTTGCACAACATTACAGAAGATTTGAATTTTTTCTTGCATGTCAAAATTAAAACCACACAACAAAGAAACATTTAGTCATGTGTTCACTACATTTGTGCGGTGAGGATATCTGCTTTTATGTAGTGATAAAATAACTAACAACGACTGCAAATATTTAGTGTTGACTCATCAGAGGCAGCTTTAAAAAAGAATGGTCAAAAATCCATCCAGCAGAAATATACAAGCCCTAGTATGGGTCAATATCCAAAAACACTGAAATGTAACTCAATGGCATCTTTTGTTAGACTCTCCTTGCCTGATGAATGTCAATGCATGTCTTCCAACTCCAGTTTGTAACACAGGCTTTCTGTTGAAAATTGTCTCTCAGCCTATACTGAAATAGCCCCAGTGACACTGTTTTATTTTGTTAAGAGAGAGAGACACACAAGCGTTATGCAACTGTTCCCACCCTGAAAAATATTTCTCATGACAAGTGTAATTACAGTGTCATGCATAAAGTAGAAGAAATCTACTGAACAGGATGTTGTCAGATCAAAATATGTTCCCTAAATAAATTCCAGAAAAAAAAAATGAAGGAAACAGCTAAACTGTGTTTATTTCTGAGTTACAGTATGAGCCAGCAAAAATCTAGTCCAGATCATCCTCAAGTGTTGCTATGGGTTATAATTAACCTAATAGTTGATGGGTAGTCCAAACAGGACAGAAAAGTATGGAATTCATTACAATTATCTCTTTGGCTGGTATCACAGTCCTACTGTTTGCGAACGGCACAGTTCATTACGTTATCTTCACTGTTAACGCCACATGAGACGCAGAGTGATAGCTGAGAGGGGATGTTGAAAACAGTTTTGAAACACTGATCCCAGTCTAACTATTTTCCTCAACTCAGCTGTTCGCCTCGTAAATGCAGTGTGGTCAGCTGTAATGGGACGGAGTCAGCAATAAGTGTGTGTGAGCAGCTCCACTTGCACTAAGGTCACAACTCTGCTGTCATACAACACATCCATCCATCTGCATTGTTATTGTGTCTCTTTTCTGTTTTTGACCTTTCTATTGTGATATATTTCTACAGCTAGAGGGACGCTTCTGGAAGCCTGTTTTGATCTCTGGATATAGAAAAGGACATATGAAAGTTCCAATGGACGCCCACCTCCTGTGGCTAAAGCTCATCCTCTGTAGCCCCAGGCTGTCCGTCTGGCCTGCAACCCCCCTCCTGTCTTCACATCCATAGCAATACACACATACACATTCAACATGGAAAATACAGTCTAACAAGAGCTGACATGTCCAAATGGAGTATGACTAAAGAATAGAGGAGTGACACAGGAGAGGAAAAACTGGCTGAAAGACACTGACAATGTGGTGAAAGTGAGGGTTTGAAGAAAGAAGCCTGCTGTTTAAGTCATCACAACGCTCTGCTTTCACACATAACTCTTGAATTCCACCCAGCACCACATGACAAACTGCCACCAAGCTGTTCCACATCCACAACCAATTCATACTGTGTTACGCTGAGACTACAAAAGCCCTGATATTCGCAGTGCATCTGCGCTCCCTCGTGTCCATTTCCCACTAAACTGGATGTTCGCGGAAAGGAAATAAACAAAAACAATGGTGTGTGCAATAAAAGAAGCCACCCAGCAACGAAATACAAGACATTACACAATTTTCTGAATGATATTGACTTTGCCTTTGTGCATGTGGTTGTTGGGAGCACATCAAAAAGTTAAAGTGCTAAAAGTATACCACACGTGAGAAATGTGAGCAAGGTTGATATCAACAGCAAACAGGAGCTTAAAAAATGGGCTAAAAAAAATGACACGCAGGAGAAGTACTCACCTGAACCAGAGGATGAGATCATGTTCCCAGATCTTTGGACTTCATCGAATCTGCTAAAGATTACATTCAACCTATAAAAATGACACAAAGGAAGAAAGAACAAAAAAGACGGTGTTAAAGAATGGAGGCAGAGAGAGAGATGGACCTGCTGGCTGCACCATCACCTCTGAGGTAAGAAGCTCTCCCTCTGCACTGTGCAGCAGTGGTGGCCAAGACCAAAATAGACAGTGTCCAAAACGACCACACACATGACTAACTGGCAGTAGGGGGCCAGAGAGAGAGAGAGGGAGAGAAAGAGAAAGACAGAGAAAGGTGATGGTGGAATGCAGTGACATATTGTTCCATATGGATCAGAGTAAAACAAGACAAAAGGTAAGAAAATAACACAAACACCTTGTACATGTCTATTGGCATGTAATATATGAAAGATGAAAGAAAATAATGCAGCTTGTCCAAACCTGAGCTCTGGCATTCTGGCCATTTTAAAGGGCTTGTTCTGAGGCTGATAACATGAGAGATGACTGAAAATCTGATGTAGTGGCAGACAAAAAAATTGCTGGGTGTTCCATCAAGAGGCGATGTTAAACTCATCAAGCACAAGGAATGAAGAATGAAAAAAGGCATTGAGTGACTTCTGCAGTCTGAGGTGACTATAAAATGAATCCTTAGGAAACTTGTTCTCATAGGAATTTTGCGCATCCTAACTCCATGTTGTGAGTTCAGCTCAAATCAAATCGTATAGACCACCAACTTCTTTATAAAAATATGTGCTTGCAGTTGAGGAATCATTGCAACATTTATCTGGACCAAAAATTCAGGACATGAAACTAGACAAGATGCGAAAATTCTCTGCCATTTTTAAAATTACAAAAGACAGGTGCGCTAATTTCTTATAAAGTCTGTCACAAATTACAGTTTCACAGTTGCCCGATTTGAGCTATTGGTGTAAAGGTATGAAAAATGTTAACAGTTTTAATGAGTCTTTGTAATTATTTGGAGTCGGGTCTTCTTCCAAGAACACTGAGAAATATGCGATATGTATAATACTAAACAGAAACACCACATTAAGAACTCTGTGTGTGTTACTTCTAATACACAAAACACAAATGAATGATTATTTTCACTGTTGATTAATCTGTCCAATATTTCTGCTGTTAACTGATCAGTTGTTTGGTGAATAAAATGTCAAAAAAGGCTCAGCAATGTTGACCAGTGTTTCCAAAAAGACCAAGATGATTGACCTCAAATGTCTTGTCTTGTCTTCTCTTGTCCACAACCCAAAGACAGTCATGTTACTGTCATTAAATTAAGGAGGACGGAAGACAAACCATATTCAAATTTAGGAATATGGAATTAGATCTTATAGATTGTCTTTTTTTTTTCTTTTTTTTTTAATAATTCTAACAGATTGATTGAATATACGTGAGTTGGTTACTAGTTAAACAGTTGGCACCTAATTGATTAATCAATGCAGGTTCATGGCAGCGTTCAAATGTGTCATTATCCAAAAGCACTTAATATGAAAACTATTAGAATCACAACATTGTGAAATTCAAATAGAACATTTTAATTCAAAGACTACGCTCTTCTTGAAAAAATAAAACATACAGTGGATCTCTTGTGCATCTTCGCATTCTAAAGCTGCAATATGGAAAGACTCCACCAGAGGGAGAAGTGTGTCTGAAGGAGGTCTGCTGCCTCTTTGTGTCTGAATATGGAAGGTAATCTTGCTCTCACCACTATACAGCACTGTCACAAGTACCACGATGTGTGTGTTTGAGAAAGGAGGTGAAAAATGATGTAAACAGGAAAAAAGCAAAACAGTAAAAACAGAAAAGGTCAAAAGGACAAAGGTGGATATGCTGAGACAGACAGTGACAGGTTAGTAGATGTCTGTTTTTGTACCGTGACTGTGGCAGGCCCTTCTTGCTGAGATCCAGCCTCACCCTTTCACCCACATGCCTGTAGATCTCCACCAAGCAGCTCATAGCTCCATCACGTACCTGATGACCACAGTAAAACACAAAAACAACTATTTAAACAAATGCTGATATCTTTATAAAGATATGTACCCCTGATTCACTGGGTTTGGACAAACACATCATTCAACCATGGCATATTGTTCTGTCCTCAACGTGCACTACTTAATCATGTCACTAGGGGGAGAACCAAAGCGTGTTTGAGCCTGTGCCTGTCTGTGTCTGAACATGGCCTCTTTTGAATTGTCTGATACACCAGAGAAAAGACATACTCTTAAAAACGCTAAAATAGTTTTGCTTATTACTCTGCTAAATTCTGCAGTTCTTGAAAATGCCGGACAAAATGGAAAACACCTGACAACAGTAACAAGAACTGTGAAAAAGCATGACAGGGTTTACCTGACTTGTGGGGTCCCCCAGGAGGTTACATATATGAGGAACAATTTTACTGAGGGTCAGGCCTTGAGCCCCATATCTGCAAGAAGAAGTTTTTAAAAAAAAAAATCAGCCCCATGAACAGATGAACTGTACAAGACATACAAGGAGACAGAAGCACACACAGGAGGATATTGAAATAAAGTCAAGGGGCAGTGTGCGGCCACAAACCAAGTAAATTACAGTCTGTTTACTTTAGCATGAGGAGAACAAGCAATTTCCTAATATCCCAAGTTAACGAAATTGTAACACATTTAAAGAATGGGTCTTTTATGTTTTACAAGAATATCACAAACATAGAAATACTGTAGACCTAAATATAAAAGACGAAATCATATCAAGGCACATGAAAATACGGTTTTCCTATGAACCACCACAATCAAAACAACTGAAACTGGATGGAGGCTTACGTGTTCAGCGTGGCGATGAGACAAAGGCACACTCCTTCTCTGGTCCTGTTGTTTTTATGTTTGAAGCCTCCCAGCATTCTGTCCCATACATACTGAAACAACACACAGTAAACAATTAGCCACACAGGTGTTGAATTTTTGGGGTGATATTTTAAAAGGGTAACAATATATCATCTAACAGTTTTCTTGGACTTTTTTTCATTAAACACATAATCTTGATACAGATCCCTAAAATGTGCATTTATTTCAGGATGTGGTAAAAAAAAAATACGTGCACAGTTTTACATTTTACAGCATAAAACTAAACTTCTAAGTGCTCTCTGGAGGACAAACTATGTAATGATTACATTTTTAAAATATATAACCTGGATTCTACAATGGCATTCCTGTACTGCAGTTTCCTGTTACTTATTGGCTAACGGTAGTATCAATATACTGTATGTGTAATAAGCAAATATTTACTAATATTTACTACATATATCCAGCTAGCCACTAGCGATTGTATACAAACTTGATGACATCCCATACAGTCTATATAGCTTTGATCCTGCCTTGCACTTTATAAAAAGGCACTGGAAGAGGAGCTGGTTCCTGAAAAACTTAAATAATAATAACTGAAACATTGAATTTGCTAGGGTTATAGTTTAACTCAACTGTTTAGTTTCTATGGATACATTACAATGGTAAATCAACTAAAAGTGGTGGATTGTAGTGGACCACACCTCAAAAGGCTTGCTGTCACTGTTGAGTTTTATTACAGAGAAAATCAACAACCGTTTTGTTTTTTTCCGGAGCACACAACAGCGACACAAAAACGACAAAAAATGTTGCCAGTAAATCTATATTAGTCATCAATAGAATGAATTGTTGTTGTGTGCTGAAATCCTTGGCTCGTGGAAAAGGCTGAGAGAGAGAGAGACCTCAGACAGGCCTATAAGTTAATGTGTGGTAGTACCTGCGGGGTGGCAGCTTGTTCCATGATCTTTAGCAGCAAAGTTTGGTCTTGGTCTCGTACTTGGTCTTTGGCATCTCCCAATCGATCAATAAGGCTTGGCAGAACTGAGAGTAAAAGCACAAATCTTTTTCAAAAAATGAACAGAAGAACACCAGAACTCAAATTTGTGAATCAGTTTTTTGGAATAAACATTATTGTGAAGTGCTGTGTCTAAGGCAGTGGGATACAAACATGCTTCTTGCTAAGAAATTAGGAATGTGACAAAATAGCATACCAAAATTCAAGCTATAAAAGACCTTGATCATTTTTGAATGTATCCTTTGGACAACCTAACTTCCAAGATCTCACAGGAAGGACAGGAGAAACAATCTGAACTGTCAGGCATCAAGCAATTATTGGCCTGGAAGATAGAAACTAATATTCAGCATTTTTCCAACTATCTGCATCAATGTTGTTTTCTAATTGATTCCACACAAAATAAATGAATTTAAAAATGGGCCACCTCTCTCTATCTGTAGTAATCACTCTGGCTGGTTGCACATCACAAGCAACAGCCTTTCAACACTATGGCTGATCAATTTGGGGGAAATGACTACTTGTGAATATTCCTTTTTTGAGATACATTTTGATAAAGTCAAGCTTCTGTTCAATATTAATGATGTAACAAGTGTAACAAGCATTACCACAAGAGATACCATCAAAAGCATGACTGTCACACAAGGAGGACGTCATCATGAATTTCTGAAAGCATTGCCTCGACAGTTTAAACTTTGGGTCAGTCTTGCTACATAGCATGTATTCCAAATGTGCTATGCTGTGACAAATGCATTTTTTTTCTAATTGTGGTTTTGATTTGAAAGAGATGTATTGCTCAGTTCTCTTAACACTGACAAATACTTGCTGAAAATCTCTGTTTTAATTAAATGTGTAAAAGACAAATGTTCATTTAAAGGCATTTTAACAAAGTTTAGTGCTGGAGTTTGTCTTGCTCTAAATTTTGGCACCAAGAGTTTTATTTTTACTACAAATCCATGTTGATTCTTAGTATCATTAATGGCCACTACAAAATTAGCATCAGCCCTGAAAAAAAGCATGTCGGTCAACCCCTAAATTGCTTTTCTTATTAAAGTAAGTACAGAAGAGGAGGAAAGCAGGCAGCACCCAGCAATCATGAAGAAGAGGGTGATAGTGAGGTAAGAATGGTTGTCAAAAAAGCAACTCCAGGACAAACAGTATAAATTATTCAGATATTCAAATGTAGAGGAAGAAGGCAGCCAACCATCAGGGAGGTCAAGTGAATGATACTAAATCCTAAAACAAACAGATATCCTAAAATGTGTTCAAACTGTTTTGTACAAAAGTACGTTACAGAAATAGCAGAAGAAAGTAGTATAAAAAAAGCTATTAAGACTAAAGATGCTGTTGTGTCAATGGCATAGCTGAATCACTGAAATTAAGAAGACAGAAAGCAAAGCAAACTGCGAATCAGAAACCTGAACCAAAAAGCATTGGCTCCATTGGAGACTTTACCTCTGAAAAATTAGAAAAACTAAATCTTACCTGTTCCCACTTGGGCCCTAAATCGCTCCTGTAACCTTGTCACTAAGGCAGATAAGAGGTCCAAGCCGAGCAGAGCCACCTAGTGAACACACAATGAAACATATTAATACATCAAAATGCAATTTCTTTTTAAAAAATGTCAACAAAACAAACCACATCAGATTTTGTTTAAATTTCTTGGATATACATTATAGTCATGAATTCATGAAAAATCACTGCCATAGGCCTGGACAAGTCCAGGTTGAGGATGGGATTCAAAAAGCTCTGTTGTGTTATGGGTAAACATTTCTATATGTGAAGCTTCTGTTTGTGTTTAGCACTGTCCCCCTACAACTTTCAAAGCCAAGAACTATAACATATGTAGGGCTCCATAGTAAGTAACATACAGATTCACTGCCACACCACGAACGTACATGCTGTGGTTAATCATTGATAGACATATGCAGGCCCTTTCTCCTGCAGCTTTCCTTGTCATGGGGTTAAGCATTTCCTGGATTTTTGTGTATGGTGCACTTTCAGAAATCCCTTCATATGTTACCAACAATAAAGATATATTCAATGAATTTGAAAAGAAAGTTCTGCTGCCATCTGGTGGCTGCCACATATTTAGACCTCACTGAGCCACAGTACTTGCAGTGTCCTAAACAAGTACATAGATTTTCTTCCTTGGGAAGCACAAAAGGTTCCTTTCCAGCATGCCAGGACAGCCAAGTATATATATTTTTTATGCAACTTTATCCCACTCTGTGCTGGAACATACTGCTCAGGATTCAATTGCTATGTATTCAGTGTTCTATCACATATTTTGTTTTCTCCTACGAAAGAACAGGTAGTGTGTGCCAGCAGACAGAAGGCTTGGTATCCAATGTCTTAATCCTCAGATCACTTCTTTTGTTCTCCAACTGGAGAGAATTACAGGAATTACTAATGGCATAGCCCTAACTAAGAAAAAATGAGAGCTCTGAGAGATCACCAGAGTTTAACAATGGTGGAAACCTCACAGAAACTGTAATTCTCAGTTTGAAATGGTAAACTCAAATCTAGATTAAGCTCCCTTTTAAGTACGGTCCCTGCAGGAGGTCTTTCTAACATTTCCAAGTGTCACAACTGAAGGTAAACACCTCTTTGTCCTGTTTTTGAACTGTGGAGCAGTGAGTCACAAAAGGACCATGGCAACAACTGTACCCTGCGTTTGAGTGTGAGTTAAATTGAAGAGAGACACTAAATAACGCAGTCAAGTCCGATGCAGATGAGGACAGGCAGGCTCCTTCTCTCTGCAGACAGATGGCTAACTCTCTTTTGCTGACATCCACATCCGGAACCCCCCAAAACAGACACACACACACACACATACACACACACACACACACACACACACACACACTCAACCCCCCTCAACGCTTTGGACCCAAATCTCACAGACATTATCCCTTCTAAATTCCCAAATCCTCCTACCCGACATGCTTGGGTCTGATTTCTGCAACTCTTCTTATTTCCAGTATTTTTGTTCACTATAGCAAAGATGACGACTCTGTGTCCGCAGATGCTAAATATCAAGTAAAACAATCACACTGGAAGAAAAAAATCCATATCCGAGTGTCCCTACACTTACCACATAGTATATGAATAAGACAATGAACACAAAATTGTCAGGATGAATATAAAGACACATACATATCTTCAGATTTAAACCAGGATTTTTTCACTACTGACAGTCACGTTTTGTGTGCCTTTTGTTTTCTAATTCAGAAAACTAAAAACCTATAGCCTAAGGCTTTCCATAACCTGACTATTTATTTCTATGTCATTAATGTCCACAAACCCAGACATTTTGGAAAACATCAAAGGCAACAGGAGGGCAGACTACATGATCATCTTTTGACTTTTGATATGGTTTCAGAAGACAAAAAAATTACAAACTAGGTGCAGATAATTGGATTTTCTTTTATGCTGATTGCCCACTGTTTAGTTTAATATACTCCTTCACTGAGTCAATTTATATTTAGTGCTAAAGTGATAAAAAAGTAACGTGGCAAAATATGTACAGTTTAGCAATGAAGTGTAATAGTGAGGCATGTTTTTGGATGCACTGGTGAGACATGAAATATGATCCAGGAAGTACAGTTGGAATAACAGATAAATGCACTTATCACAGGCTTAAACAAAATGGTTTCGGCACCTGTCATGGTTCTGACAGTGGTTTGCAATTTTCAGTCAGGATTTTAAAACTTTCTTCAAATTTATCTTCAAACTCACAATGAAAACATCTCTCACACCTTCTGATGAAAACGTGCAAATACTGGGGAATATGCAGTCTGTTTTATACAGTATCATTCTAAAAGACTTTAAACGAAGGATGACCTGACTAACTGACAAACTAAATACATACAGACATATTGACATAGTAAACATCTTGTGAGGTGCAGACTTGTTTTGGTGACACATAGTACATGTGATAGTTTAAATGCTTGTAAAGAGTGAAGTTCTTTGCAAGGCAGAAAAACACTACATCCCACACTTGTATCCACCACAGTCTAAAAGGTACATGCAAAAATCTCAGGTTTGAAACTTTATCATGTGTTCAGACAGATTCTAAAAGAGGCAAGTTGTCTCTTGCCTTTGAATCAGTGCGAAGCTGTTGGGTATGCTTGAACTGAGCATGTAACGTCCATATCCAGCTCCAAGCGGGCAACTGAGCATTTTGTGTGAGTGTAACTGTATTGTGTAAGAATCTGCACAGCCACTTTTCCTGAACATCCAACTTTTCTCAACTCCCTTTTGTCATGCTGCTTGTTCACACCAGTAACATGTTTTCTTGTGCAACGGGTTTCCAAAAAAATCCTTATGTCTGAATGCATTGTCATCATTAAAATAGCTTAATAATCATATTTAACAAATGTGCATAAATGCAGCTAAGTGGATTGTAGTCAGTATGCCTGCCAAAGTGATTGACAATCAGTCAGATTCTATAACCTTTAAAGGTTTTGCTTTTTTCCCACTATAAACATACATATATACACAAGTCTTTTTCCCAGTGTTGCATTCATCAACTGCAGGAATCGCATGACAGAAAAAAAATCTACAGAAGTTCCAGAGAATGCCTATTTCAGAGAAGTATTCTTGGATCTCAGGGATCCATCTCTGATCAACCCACTAACATCAAACCTTACTCACTAAAAACACTGTTCATCCTGAGATTTACTAGAAAAACCCAGCAGACCACAGCGTCCTCCTTCTGTCTCTGATGTGGAAGAGCCTTTAAATTAAATCAAGGATTTCTCTTTCGTCTCTTCCCACACTACCAAGCCTGCTATCTCATTTCCAGTAGAAACACCACACACATTTACAGAGGTGCACATACACACAAATAAATGCAAACACACACTAAGTACAAAAAGAGCAACAGGCACATGTACAGAAACATGTCGCCATCTTTTCAGTGACTTTCTTTAAGTCAAGACAACAGCGTGTGTGGATCCCCACACAAGCTCACACTGGTGCTTCATTTAAAACTTAAGTTTTCAAAACATCTAACAAAACTCTTGAAAAGGACAAAGTAAAATACACACTGTGGAAGACAACTCTTTAAAATGAGTCCATGACACTTATGCACAGAAAGCTGTGGTTTACTGTAGAGTGCTCTGTGATTATGCACAGCATACCTCCTACTACAAAACTGGATTCTGATGTCTCACACGTTTCTATAAACCAAAGATTTTGTCTCTCTTAGGACGATTTTTCTAATTCAATTGACCCACAAGCCTGCTATTTGTTGGCTGCTACCAGGGCTGCCATGACCGCTGTTCAATCAATGAGTCTATTGACTATTTTTCCGATTAAGCTAAGCGATTTGTTTTCATCCTTAAAAACAAAATTAATCCATGAAGTATCCCGCAAGTCCTGAAGTATTTTTATTGCTTTTCCAGTAGATTTTCACCTAACACTTCCATAGCAGCAGGTCAGCACTGTAAAAACTCTACAGCAACACTGTCATGATAATAATCCACAGCAGCACAATGGGAGCTACCCAGTTCAACCACAGCCTCATTCAGGCAGGGCTGGACACATCCAAACAATTTCTAACATGCACTGAATCCAGTAACAGTAATGGAATGAATGCAATTGTGTTGTTATGTCAGCATTTAGAGACAGCAGCAACAGCCTTATCATTTTCCTGAGGTGAGATTAGCCAGCAGTGACCGCACTGTGACTCAGCTTCATTCAGCAGAGCTCAGGACCTCAGGCAGGGTGGCAACTGGAGAATGGAATGTACAGTAAACACTCATTGGAGAAAAAACCCAACAGCACTAATTCAGAGCGCACATAAACACACACAAAGATACAAACATGAATTTAGCATACAACAACATCTAGAGACACATAAATATACACATAAACAGACTATTATACAGTTCACTTCCTCCAGAGACGATGCTTCATGCTTGACTTGCTGCAGTGAAAACACTAAAATGGGAGCAACTTCCTCCAGACATAGTGCCACTGACAGTGATACACGTCAGTCTTACTCTCTCTCGCTTGTTCAAGTTCAAACACATGTAAAATGTTTGATGCTGTAATTGCATGAGTGTAAATTACAGAGAAAATACAACAAAAAGTGTCTAAGTACAGTGTTTGTTTGCACATGAGCGGATTCAGTGCTTTTTGCTACAGGTACCTAAGCAAATAGAAACCTACTTGAAGGATGAACAACTTTCCTCCAAAAGATATTCCTTTATTTTGTGTTTTGTTTTGTCCACAATCACAAATTTGCCTAACTTGGCTTTGTTTCATAGCTCATACAGCATACAACACCCTCTATCCTTTAACCGTCAACCTTAAACTTGTATTAAAGCAGCGACTGTACAATTGTAGCTTAGCATCCATAACTAGGAATAGCAGGTCTGCTAAGCTTACCGTTCATGTCAAACACAGAAAAACACACAGGGCTCCTGTGGATGTATCTGAAAGACTGGCTGTGACCTTTTCTACTAGATAGAACAGCTAGTTAGAGATTGGGCTATAGGACCATGTACCTGAATATTCTTGAGGTATATGGAATAAACTATTTGTTGCCTTTCT